TAAAAAAAAAAAAAAAAAAAAAAGACTGGTGTTTCCAATGAGGATGTGGGAACCATAAGGTGGAAAGAAGACTGGCACAACCTGGCAGAGGGAAACGTGGTGCTATCTATGGCCATGTTACAGGCGCACACCCTGACTTAGGGACACACTTTCTGGGGATGTTCCCACAGAGACAGACAGTTCTGTTCTAATGTTTGTTTTGAAAGCTGTCTGTTTGAGCTTGACACATGTACTAAGGAATCATCTGAGCATGGTGCGGATTTTGCGATTGCTTATGTGGGATAAGCCCTAGGTGAGAGCAGAAAATTGCACTGAGCTGACCTGAGTAGTGGGAAATATACCCGACCTGCCCCCTTCCCCCCTTTAGCATCTGTTAGTAGCGACCTGCAATACCCTTCAGGAGTTACATCAGTCCCACTTCAGGAAACCTCCTCCTAGCATCTCACAGTGACCCACAGGCTGCAGCCTTCCCACACCCACACGTGAACCTCAGGTCTTCCCAGGGTCAAGTGCCAGAAGTGTAGTATTCACGTCATTTGTAGCTATTTAATGTTTGTAATGGCACTACCATTTTTAGTAGGTGTTTTTTTTAATGTGTTGCTAACACAGTTTCCCAGTGTTGTGCCCTGATCCTGTTTTCCCATAAGCCCTGCGCCTGGTGCAAATTTCCAAAGCAAGGTCACTTTTAGGAATGTCACATATGGGCAGAACTGGCTGTGCTCATCCAAGGACATATGTACAAAGTTGGATAATGGAGACCAGCTCCCCACGGTTGCGCCGTAAGTTGATGGCCTTAGTTAAAACTGCATTTAACCAAGGGGTCAGCACCACCAGTATTACAACCATTTTACAGATTAGAACCTGAGGTTCAGCAGGGTGAGAGAAAGTGCTCTGAGGAGGAAGGAGGTAGAGCTAAGATCTGAACCGAGGACTGACCGAGATCAAAACCCTGAAACACATGGCCAAATTTACCCAGAGCTCCTTGCTTTGGCCCTTACAGTGTGTTTTAAATATCCAAGCCAACATCCTAAAATCAGGATAATTTATACAAAAACTCAGACTTCTAGCTCCTCTTGAAGAAACTGATGACCTGAAGTCTGGGTCATCAGGAGGCTTGTTTAAAATGCAGATGCAGGGCCAGACATGAGGAGTCATAATTCTGAGGTGAGTCCCAGGCATGTGCATTTCCAACAAACTCCCAGTAGCTCTGGTTGGAGGATGCTCAGCTGTACCTTCCCCAATGAATCTTCTCTGAATGAGTCTGTGGCCCATCGATATGACCTTAGATAAGTAAGTCTAACTTTTCTGCCTCCCCATTACCGTGAACAGAACAGACACCTCTCAGTCTTCTCTCTATAATGATCCTTCCAGCCCCTAAGCTGTAATGACCCCATGGAATCTGTGAAAGACTCATAAGCTCCTATGATCCCAAACATCACTGTCCCCTCCCCCACCCAGATCAAATGCTCAAAGCTGCCACTGCAATTGCTCATCTCTGAGAAGCAAGTTCCTACTGCTGTACAAGCACTATGTACACACTAGATCTGAGTCCTATGGGGCCACTGGTGGCAAAAGTTTGCTGCATCAAAACAGCTCCACTGGGTTTATAGGGACCACATGCTATCAATCTGACCTTACACATTTATGCTAAAGAGAATCCCACTACTTTATTTCACTTACCAAGGTTGTGATTTTGATTTTTATTTTTCATTATTATTTTCATTTTTATTTTTATTATTGATTTCAGAGAGGAAGGGAGAGGGAGAGAAAGAAACATCAATGATGAGAGTCACTGATCAGCTGCCTCCTGCACGCCCCCTGTTGGGGACAGAGCCTGCCACCTGGGCATGTGCCCTGACTGGGAACTGAACCTCAATCTCCTGGATCACAGGTCAATGCTCAACCGCTGAGCCACGCCAGCTGGGTCAGAGTTCATTTTCCAGACATAGACTCCAAGTCTGGAAAAGGATGACGTCCAAGTTCCTTGCATGACACAGATGTCCCCACCACTGGCTTGCCTGGACTTTCTGTCAAGTCTCCTTCTGACTCCTGGGCCTTTGCACGGGCTGTTACCAACACCGATAATCCATCCTTTATCTGTACTTGTCTACCTGATAGTTCCGACCCATTTGTCAAGATTCAACCTAAATATCTTCTCTCTGACCCCTACATGGTTGGCAATCATTAACCCTAACATACTTCTTTACATTCCCCTTCTTTTCCACCCCAGTCATCTCTTAGTTTCTCCCCCCTCTAGACTGAACTCCTAAGCAGCAGCAACCACTCACCTCTGTTGCCCCGTGCCTGCATAGAGCCCAGTTTTAATCCGCAAAAATAAAGGAAGCTGTGTAGTCTAAACAATAATGAAGTCATCTTTTAAAGAGAGTATCCCCTTAGGTTCTTTTTTAATCCCTCTGATGTATGTTTCCTTGGGTGCAAAACTGCCTCAGGAGTATATTAAAATCAAAACTAAACAGAACTCCAATAGGTATTTGTATATCTATGTTCACAGCAGCTAAAATGTGGAAGCAACTCAAGTGTCCATCAACAGATGAATGGATAAACAAAATCTGTTCCATCAACACAATGGAAATTTCCTTAAAAAGGAAATTCTGACACATGCTACAACACAAACTGAGTGAAATAAGCCAGTCACAAAAGGACAAATATTGTATGATCCCACTTATGTGAGGTCCCTAGGAGTCAAAAAATTCATTGAATCACAAAGTAGAATGGTGGGTGCCAGTGGCTGGGGGAGGGGAATGGGGAGTTAGTGTTTAATGGGGACAGATTTTCAGTTTTGCAAGATGAAAAGTGTCTTGGAACTGTATAGTAGTGATGGCTGCACAACAATGTGAATTTATTTAATGCCACTGAACACTTAAAAATGGTTAAAATGCTAAGTTTTACACTATCTATATTTTAGAGCAGTAAAAAAATTAATCCCCCCAAAAAAAGTTTATCAGATTTTTACAGGATTCCATGAATTCAAACAAGAAAATGCTTCCAATGCACCTTACAATGGATTATGCCAGGAATAGCCACAGAGAAGAGGCCTCTTACCTGATAAGTATGCAGTATCTCCAAGAATGACCGGTAGATCTCAGGGTGGTCCAGAAACCGGGTCTTAATCTTGTTCACATAGCTGATGGCGTTGTTGAACTCCACAGAATCCGACTCCAAGGGCACCTGGGGTTTGTCCTCCTTGTACAGCAGCTGTTGTTTGAAGTTCTCGGCACAGTCACTGTGGTTGTGAGAATTCTCCTAACAACACGACAGGAAGTTACTGTCAGCCTGACATCAGGAACAGATTGTGACAAACGCCAGACCAAACGCCACTATCTGTATGAGAAAAGGCAAAACCTAGCACAAAGCCAAGTGTTTCAATTAGATGCAGAAGAAAGGTTATGTCTGCGGGCCTGGAGGAATGCAGAGGGGGGGACCCCATGTGGGCCTTCTGTGGGTCTGTGCGCTCCTGTGCATGTCTTATGAACTTGCCTCTGCCTGATCCTTCCCAAATGATTCAGAGAATACATGAGAAACACTCTATACTTTAAAAAATTAGCATGCGCAAGAAAGGTACAAAATGTGGATTTAATCCTTTTCAGAGTAGAGTTTTGGCTTCTTTATAAAAGAAGTCTTCTCACAGTTTTTGTCAGCCCATTTCAGCAAGACTGTTTCAGTTGTAAAAGCACTTGCTCTCAGCAGGTATAAAACTGGAACCCTGCAGCTAAGGGGGCCCCACTGTACAGGCTACATGGCACTGCAGGACTTTTGGTGCTAAGCCCAGGGCAAGTCACTTGAGAGAAGAGATTCGCTCAGACCAGTCATCAAGCATGCCCTTCATTTGTGTGCTTTTCCAACAATACAAATAAAAAAACAGACACATACATCTCTCTCCTGTGTGCTCAGAATTCTAATTCTTGGTGGGACAGGACCCACCCCCAAGGTGATGTTTCTAAACTGGAATTTTGATGACAGTCTCCCTCTGCCACTGACAGCAGGTGGGCCATCAGGAGTGACCCTCAGCATCCTTCAGATCCCAGCAAGCAGGGGCTGTTTCTTGAGCAGTCTTCTGAAACCATACAGTGCCAAACTAAAATGACCCTGTCTCCCAGCACTCTCATGCTGTTTTTCTCCTACTGGAACATACTGTACTTATTTTGTCTGTCCACCCTGACCAGACGGCAAACACCATGAGGACAGATTCTACTTTGTTCACAGCTATATCCCCAGTGCCTGGAACAGAGCAGGACTCCTCCACTGCCGGGGAATGATCAGATTAACAGGTGGAGGAACAAACTGAGTCTACTGTTTCCATTGCCCAGGCCCCCAGCACCCCACCTGCACCAACTGCTGTCGAGAAAGGCTCTGGTGGGATGGGCACTGCTGTGCACAGTGGCCATCACCTGGGTATACTAATCTGCTTGGGCTGCCATAACAAAATACCAGGCTGGGCAGCTTCAATAACAGAAACTTATTTCCTCATAGTTCTGGAGGCTGGAAGTTCTGGAGGTTGGTTTCTCCTGAGGCCTCTCAGCTTGTAGATGGCCACCTTCTTATGGTGTCCTCACATGGTTGTCCCTCTGTGTGCATCCAACCCTGGGTTTCTCTTTGTGTCCAAATTTCCTCAGGACACCAGTTAGATTGGATTAGGGGTCATTATCTCTGTGAAAACCCTATCTCCAAATATAGTCACATTCTAACACACTGAGGGTTAGGACTTCAGTGTAAGAATTGGGGGCAGGGAGATGACACAATTCAGCCCATAACAGTGTAGAGGCAACTCTAGAAAGTCTGAGCTGAGGAAAGCAGACACACAACAGATCCAGAGCAGTCACAATTATAAACACTTCTCCCAGGCAGTGGAATTCATTTTAAGACACTATGGAGATGCTCTGCTGATTACTTTGAGGTGGAAGGTGGAAAGTGGAAGGAGCAGGGAGAGGAAACAGCCTTCGGGCCAGGGTTTGCTTTAGAGAAAGCTGTGCCTTCACCAGAAACTCCCCACCACTCTGAGGGGGCATTTTCAAGCACCAAATTCCCCTTTCACCCCCCTGGAGTGAGTCACTGGGACAAGACAGAGAACCATCCCTAGAGACCAGGGCTCTACAAAATGGGCCAGACAGTAATGATGCAGCAGCTATAGCAAACAGTACGATGTTTCTTTAATAAGTTAAACATAATTACCATGTGTCCCAGTAATTCTGCTCCCAGGTAACACCCCAAAAGAACTGAAGACAGGTGTTGAAACAAATTCTCGAACATGCAGGTTCAGAGTGGCACTAGTCAAAATCACCAATAGGTGGAAACAACCAAAGTGTCCATCAGCTGATAAATTAACAAAATGTACTCCATCCATACAGTGGAATATTATTCAGCCATAAAAAGGAATGAAACTTTGATTCATGGAAGCTCTAATACAACATGGATAAACCTTAAAAACACAATGCTGAGTGAAGGAAGCCAGACACAAAAGGTCATTTAGTGCATGATCCCATTTACATGAAATGTCCAGGACAGGCAAATCTATAGAGACAGAAAAGTGGATTAGTGGCTGCCAGGGGAGAATTTCGAGGTACAGTATCTTTTTGGGGTGATACAAATGTTCAGGAATTGGTGGCAGTTGCATGATATTGTGAATATACTAAAAACCACTGGGCACTTTTAAATGGTTATAGTGATGAATTTTGTTACGTCAATATTGCCACAATTAAAAAACATTTTTTAAATGTAGTCTTCAGAAAATGTAAAACCCACTGACCATACAAAAACAAGCTGGTTTTGGCCCAAGGGCCATAGTTTCCCAATTCCTGGTCTAGGCACAGTTAGAAACACCTCCTAGATACTGTCAAGCCACCCATCACAGCCAACTTGTCCATCTGAGTGTCCACACACAGCCCCACCTAGATATTTAAGAGATGCCTCACCAAACACAGAGGAACAGCCCCCCACTCCTCCCTGGCTTTCCTCATCTCAGCAGGGGCCTTGACCTTCACCCAGGGGCTCAGGAATCCTGGATCTTGGACCTCTCCCTTTCTGATACCCGCCCCTGGTCTGCAACACCATTCACTGTCTGGATCACATGGGGCCTCTCCGTGGCCTCACAGATCTTCTCTGCTCCTCAGTCCACGGCTGGCACAGCAGCCAGAGTGGCCTTTCCTCAACTCTCCACCAACTCCCCACACTCCTCTCTATCCCACCCTCTACCCTTCATGTCCCAACCCCACAGGGTTCCTGGACATTTCTCAAGCACATTCACTCCTTCCTACTTCAGGCCTTTACTCCCACCACCAGGAAGACTTCCATCGTCCACCCCAAACACAGGCATGGCTCCCATTGCCCTCCTCAAGCCCTGCCCCTGCCATCTTTCGCTTACAGTGCTGAACTCCCTCATATGTCATATCTGTCCATCTGTATCTCATGAGTTCCCATCTCAATTGTGCAACCACCTCATGAGCTGGGGCTTGCAATAAACCTCAGGGCCTGATGCAGAGGAGATGGTCTACACTCACTCTATGGGTGACTTAGGCACAGAGATGATCTGCCAGAAACTGACTGAACTTCCAAATGACCCTCTCCAGAGAGTAGACAGTAGGCCTCCCTTTTAACGCAATGGGACCACTTATCTTACAAGCTGCACCTAAGGGTTTATCTTCTTATCTCTTGGGTATTACCCCAGCCAAGCATAAAAAAGTCAACTCCCAGATGGCAGAATCTGTTCTCAAGGGGACCCACTGACATCCAGTTTCTTGCCTTGACAACATGTGCCGAAAGGGGGACATAGTCATGACCAAGGCAGATGAGGGTCTTGCCTGATGAGGAGGAATCCCAGTTTTCCAGGGAAGGCAAATCAGCAAGAAACAAAGTTTTAAATTTTTTTCTTGACTTTGCTACTCTGAAATATACAAAAAGGTGTGGTGTGAGAAAAACTTGGTAGTGACAGTGGGGGGGGCTCTCTGCAGAGGTGAGGTAACAACTGAGGTGCAGATGACCAGATCCAAAATGGTGCCAGTAAAGGGATGTTCTTCCCACCATGGTCCCTGGCCCTCCTTTGGCCATGCTTCTCTCATCATAGCACATGTCGGTCAGTCTTCCTTTAGACTAGTGTTCTCAGCAGGGGTGATTCTGCCCCACAGGGAACACTTGGCAACGTCTGGAGACATTTTTAAGTTGTTACAGTGGAGGAAGGAGTGCTACTGGTATCAGGTGGGTGGAGAAGAGATGCTGTTCAGTGCCTTACAGTGCACAGGATGCCTCCACAGGAAAGAATGATCCAGCCCCAACGGCAACAGTGCCAAGGCTGAGAAACCCTCCCCAAAGGCTGGGATGCCCCTTATTTCTCTTCCTCAGCACCTAGAAGCTACTCTTTCCTTGTCTGCAGTTAACAGGATTCATGACAAGGTGAAAAATGAAAAGAATAAAGCTGTACTTCAAAATAGTGAGGCTAAAAAAAACAATTTTTAAAAAGTCACCACAGCACTTGTGTATAGGGAGCCCTGTTAAGATCTCCAGTGACTCTAGTCTCTCAAAGGACTCCAGGAAGCCAGGAAGACATCTCGTTTGTGCCTGGCACTGAGGTCTGCTGACAAAAGAAGCTAAAAACCCTGCTGGTCCTTAGTGTTGACTGAAGCTGTGTGGGCTGGTATGTTCCTGAATGCACCTCTCCAGCTGAGGGAGCAGGCCCTGGATGTGGCTTCTTCCAGCTGCAACAAGACTATAAAGCCCTGTTAAGTGGCTGTTAACTAAATTCTCTCAAGCCTTTCTTCAAGTTAATGGACCTGCTTCACCTAAGCCAGCCAGGGGGGAGACAAAACTGATCTGGTCTGTTCTCTCTACAAGAGCCCTCCCTGGAGTGTGGAACAGCTGGTGCGTGGCTATTTTGGGCAGGGCCACCACTGTTCGCATGGAGCTCCAGCCCCAGAGCAGACTGACCCCCACAGTCAGGGATTGAGAAAGGCCATGTCCATATAGGGAGCACAATTCAGATCTTTGATCCTGCTCTTTCTTAGCAAGTGATGGTAATAGCACCCCATTTATAGGGCACTTCAGACTCACAAAGTGCTCTGTGTACCCTATTGCCAATGAGCTCGGTTTCCTTCCCCCACTGTGATTATTTCAAAGGTTAATCCTGTAAACGCTTTTACTGTCTGGAGGCATGAACCCCCCCATCTGGATCCTGGAGCTCCATTCACAAACGTGAAATGGAAGCTCTGTGGAATTCAGTGGCCACAGGCTTCCAAGTTCCTTTTTAAAATTGAGATGCGCTCCTCGGCTTTAATAAGACAACACACTGAAGGTGGAGCTTGCCTTACGTAGGCCTCTCACTGTTTTTCCAAATCTGACTCCTTCATTTGACAAGACACTCCCTCATCAGAGGATAAACCTGCAAAATGCTTCCCTAGAGTAGATTTTTACCTTCCTCATTAAAATCCCTGAGACAGAGATGGAGGAGGTTGAAAGAGCCAGTTCACTTAGACTAGTGGTTCTCATCAGGGGCGATTTTACTCTCAGGAAACACTTGGCAATGTCTGGTGACATTTTTGACTGTTTCTTCCTCCCATGAGGACCTAGTGGGTAGAGTCAGGGACACCACTAAACACCCCTCAATACTCTGGACCCCACTATACCCCCCAACTTGCAGCAAAACATTATACCTTAAATCACAAAAGGACCGAGGTAGGGGAAAACAATGACCTTATAAAAGTAATTCTCAAATAGGCTTTCGGATTGCAGATAGAGGAGGCAGCAAGCTGTTAACAAGAGAGAAGAGACCAAAGGCACAAGCCTGGGCTGAGCCAATGACCCTGTTGGTAATTATAAAAATGGCCATTCACACCCACATCCCAGCTGCTTCAATTTGTGGGTGGCACCAAGGGAGATCAGAGCAACCACATGTCCACGTACAAGCGTGACCTGCCTAGTGCACTCACAGGGAAGGCCTCAGGCCAACACCTTGGCCACCAAGGGTGCAGTTATTTTGACTAGACATAAAACTGTTAGCAGAATGCCCCCCTGACATGCACAAACACATCCACTCTTGATTTAAATCCTTCAAACGGAGCAATCTGGGAAGCAGAGGCTGCCTGTATAGGTGTTTCAGTCTATTCTGATTTGTGCTAGAAGGGATTAGCACATTGAGAAAAAGACTGGATTGTAACTGGCTTTCCGGCAATGCAATACACGACACATACTGCCCAACCTGAGTGCCTGAGAATCAGTGCAGGCTGTGTTAAGGCCAAGATCACTCAAACCACTGCAGCAGCATACCTGGCTGGACAGAGGCGACTGTATGTTTAACTTGCCATTCTTGGGAATGTCGATTCTGTACCCAAGGGGAAGGAAAGCATTGAATCCAACAATGAGGTCAGGGTGTTCGTGGAAGAGCTGTGAGACTCGTCGGATGACTCCAGGAGTATCAATGCTGGAATAAAGAACATGAGTGGGCAAAAGCATCTCAGGGAACAAATTAAAAGTGAAATCTACTCCAGACTTCCATGACTGTGCCATGTAACCAGCTTCTCCCTGAAAACAAAGCACCTTAAAATGTGACTGGGGTGATTCTGCTGACAGTAATCTACTTCCAGAGCACCCAGGCCTGGGCTCCCTATACCCCTGGTGAGAACCACAGAATAATCACATGGCACAGCTCCCCCAAACACTCGAAGCACCTGTACTCAATGCTGAAAATGTCAGGAGAGCAACTGTGAGTCCTGGACTTCAAGATGTGGCAGGAGGCCGAAGCCCTCTGAATGATGAAATGAGATCAATTCCCTTATATGAATTAGGGATCAACTGTAACACAGGAATTGATCCCAGCAACTGATTACAATGCATAAATAACAAAGGCCCTACAAGTATGGGACTTGATTAAGAATTCAAGGGGAGGGATGGGGTATCCCTCATGGCTGCAGTTAGGGCTAAGGCCTTAGTACAGTGCCTGTGGAAGGAAACCAGGCTCTGTCATATTTCCTCAGGAGAAGCAGCATGGTAGGAATGTGATAACTGAGACTATAAGACTCAAGAGAACCCAAGTGCTAGTCCTGACTCTGTCCCCTAAGCCTCAGTGAGCCTCCTGTCACACAAGGGCATGACTGTGAGGTCCCCTATGGATCTCTAACCCTCCTGATTCTGTGCCTACAAAAACAGCTAATGTGTTTTACATGTCTTCTAAAATGCCAGGTCCCTTACTAAGCATTTTATGTGCAGAACTTCCTACCAGGCCTGGAACTAGGGTGAGGTGAGTGAAGCACTCACCTTGGGAACAAAATTTAAGGGGGAGAGGGCGCCAAAACATTCAACAATCAAGATAAATAACATTTTAATGCAGTGCTTAAAAAATTAATTTTAAAAAGTCCTGGATGAACAAAATTCATTTAAAAAATCATCATTTTGGAGAAAGACTCTTTGCTGGTCGGACTCCCTTCTCTTGCCTCACCCCCATACCTGCCCTCCTTCCAGGAATCCCCATAACAGCTCCACAAAGGAGGACTCTACGCTCCTGTTTTTTTAGGGAAAGGAGCTGAGGCTTCCAGAGATTTGACAACCTGTGCAAGGTCACGCGGCTGGGGAACTTCCACCTCGCTCGGCCCGACTGCGGCCCCCCGGGGTGGGGAGGGGTCCCAGGGGTACCTTTGGCTTTTGAACTCCTTCATAATCTCCAGGAAACCGTTGTAAGTGGCAGGGTCGCTGCCGAAGCGGATTTTCACCTGGTCCAGGTAGGTGAGGGCGTCCTCCACCTGCGGGGAAGGGGAGGGAGAGGGGGAAAGGGAGGATCCTGATGGGCCGGGGTCAGTGGAGGGAACTGGGAACGGTGTGTGGGGGGCTGTCTCTGGCGGGAGCCGGGGACAGGCCGGCCTCCGAGGGGGCCGAGGTGAGAGATCAGGGGTCTGGGGTCCCGGGCGGCGCAGAGGAGAGTTCGAGGTGGGGCCGGGCGGGGCCGGGTTGGGAGCGCAGGCCTGTAAGGGCCGGACAACAGGATCCCCGAGGGAGGGCTGGGGAGCCACTCACGTGTACCGGCAGCTTCTCGTGGCCCGCGGAGCCCGAGCGACCCCAGCGG